AAATGGTATGAAAAACAAAGGCAACGTAGAGAATAATACCAATGATCAATGTATTAACGGATCGAATCTGTTGACTGATCAAACTTCGAATGACACTCAACCACAATAAACGTTCTTTGGGTTTTTCAATTGAATCGTTCATTTCACACAATTCCTTTAATTGAGAATGAACTCAGTCAAATGAGAGAAGTAGAAACGGAACATTTTTGATAATTACAAGTGATATAATTAACTGTTTAACATTTAAACAGTCAAAATGAATACGAAAATATGGAGATTGAAACTTATTGAAGCGATAGTTTAATTTTCAACAATTCCGTAGGAAACCTTCAGTACAATTACTGATTTTCACACGATTTCACAATTGAAACCATGCAGTTAAAGTTAAAAGTTAAACTTGAAAGAAACCGAAATCCAATGAAATTTCGTTCGTGAATCACGCTGTTGAAATTTGCAAACGATAACCGACCTGTATGACAGCATTGCTGAAGAGATCGGCAGCAGGAGATAACCGCTTGATGCTTTCGAGTATAACCATGCGCAAAGAACGGCCATCAGCAGATGCTTTATGATAACGCAATAAAACGTCCATCTAAAACACAGATTTGTTCACTGGCACCCATTATCACGCGGAATCCTTCAACAAATACTCAAATGAAAGTCTCCAAAATTGTAATTTTTGATTCATCCGAGGAAGTAAATCGTGTTCCGTTCGCATCAAAGCCACTCATAAATAAGACAGATCAGATGGTTCAGCTGGCCTTATCGAAGTGAGTTACGGCAATGGATTACATTTGGGCTTAGGCTTAGGCTCATATGGGGCCTTAGTCATCAATTATGCAAACATATGGTTCNNNNCTTATCAATTTCATGTTCAGTTGAGACATATATTAAACAAACAGATGGTTCGTTGGTATGAGCCTCAGCCTAAAGCTAAACTCAAATGTAACCGACCGCCATAACTCACTCTGATTACCAGATTATTTCCAATCACAGACGATTGAATAATTTCGAATATCAACGATCAATAAGTCAACGAACGAATAACGACTATTTCTAAAACATAAAAATGATAATTACCAATCTCGGCATGGTGATGCGTCTTTTTTGTACGATCGAAGTGACTGACTGTATGATATTAAAAGCGATATATTTATTCGGTGTTTTAAAGAGAATCTTCTCACAAATATCAATGGCGTTCACAATAGTTTCGTCGTCATTGTGTAAATTTGCGATGACACGCACGACGTACACCTTCAACCGTAATGAACATTGTGGTGAATTTATCACTTCTTCAATTTTGCGTAATGTCATCTCCGAGAAACGTCTGAAATTCTATCCTTATCAGCATTATTACTTCAGACTTCTGCAAGTGTCATTTTGATGAGCATTTACAAATTGACAGTACATTTGTGTGCGACAACGCATTCTTTCCGATCAAGCAACTTCTAATGAAACAGCAATGCTGTCACCGTTCAGAATCAAACTCTAAACAATCGATGCTCTAAAATGAATCAACAAAAGCAGTACCATTATTATCATTATTATTGATTTTCTTTCCATTGATAATTATAAATCATTTATCAATATTGTCACTTCAGAATATCACTCATTTAACCTTAACGTATCTCCATCACCGAAAAAAATTGTTTGAAACAATATCTTAAAGGCAAACTTTGAAGCGGCTGCAAACGCATTCATTGCAACAACAGCTGCGGCTCTTTCATCTCTAGACTCGCAATCAACACTTTTCATTATCAGATGATGCACCTGAAATTATACATTCAATATCATTATCACCAAATTTCCCATTGTACAATTGATACGCACTGAAAAGATCATCAACAATTGAATCGTCACATGAAAAAGATCGCATATTTGATGAACGTTATGAAAATGAGAATGAATGAAACTGAAAAAAACGAGCAAAGATGAATAAGTACACGTACGCGCTTACTATCACTGATTACCGCTGCCAAAGTTGCAAGTAATCTCAGATTATACGCTCTTTTTAACGAGTCATTTGAATACGAAAATCTCAACAGTCTCCTCGTAATTTCCGTCTTCGAATAAACCACAGCCAATTCATCAGTACATTCATTTAATATTTGGATAATGAACCTACGAAGTGCACTATCGCTGAAATATTTCTTCGGTACTTGATTCATATTTGTTAATTATTATGATTGATTTCTGGCTGGCAACAACTTCAGAGTGACTACAAAAAAAAACAAGCGATCATGCGTTGATATTCAAAAAAGTTATAGCATGAAAAATAAATTGACATACTTCAAATGAAAATTCTAATACATCGAAGAAAACCAGAATGATATCCAGAAATCTACCAAAGACTTCTTGAATTCGCAATTTAAGATGTAAACTCCTGTTTTCTTGATCCTATTCGAGAACGATTAATTAATCAAAAACAGACTCTATACGAAACGCTTCGAGAAGTCGAAGAACGGCCGCATTAATGAAGTACGGTATTCGTGTGTTACTCATCAACGTCTTCAGATTCACTAGCAGTTCCATTTTCTCTCCGAGTGTTTCGGCATACAAACCTTGAATTTGTTTTGAATTAATTTAAAACGGATCGTTCTCATTGAATTCTTACATAAAATTTTCCAATGGTTAACAAAGAAAATATACAAATTGTATGAATGAAACAAACGAATGAATTTGGTCAAGTTTCATAATAAGTNAGAAGGGACGAAGAGAATAATCATAGAAAGCATGAAATTTTCTCAAAGTCAGAGTAACGCTTGGTTGCGTTTAGCTTAACAATTTATATTTTCAACATATAATAAAGAATATTTCAAACCTTTATCAACATAACTCAGCGCTTCGCAAACTCGACTGTCCATTTTGATATGTTAATTTGCACAACTCAGAACGATGTTCACCTCCTAAAAATATAAACATATTCAGTTTTAAGCTAAATTCCATGTCCTCTCAGGCTCGCATTTAATTATGATCCATGCAACGAGAAATAAACCAATGATAAATACTAAGAAGTAAGATTTTTATGGGTTCTAATGAATGGCAAAACTTGTTTTTCTTCCGTCCTTATGACAAAAAATTTCAGCGGTACGCCTTTTCAAAGTAGTTGATGTCTGATGGAATATATCAAATTCTAATTACCCACTCTTTGGTTCTCAAAATGAATCCACGCTCCAATTCTTCTGCAGGTTCCGAATAATTACAAGCGAAGTAACTGAAAAATTTGGTTGGGGTAACAGAAGCCAAAGTGCACTTTCATACGCACACGCGTCCGAATGTTGAAAGGCGAGAGAATAGGAGGAAAACGCTTCGTGAATGCGCACAAAACGAACAGAATGAATGTAGCTGTGAAAGCTAACAAC